ATTATTAGATATGTTATTATAGAACATGCTTTACTTAAGGAATTCTTGATACTTCAAGTGCAAAATGATGATATAAAACCTTAATAAAAATACACTTTTAAGTATTAATCACCTAATTTTGAGCATTTTCAACTAACAAGTCTAAGTACTCCATTGCTTCATCAGGGTCTTTATCTTTAAAAGTTCCATTGCACATCAATTCCACTATTTATCTATCTTTAGGTATTAACCCTTTATAAAAATATGAAATCAATCTTTATGTTTCAAAACCATGATGAGGACAAGTATTAAGCAAGTCTTGATACCTATCCCAACATTAGTAAAATGTTTCTCCTGGTTTTTGAGTGAAAGTGGTGATTTGTCTTTTGAAAGAGTTGGTTCTGTGAGATGGAAAAAACTTTTTTAAAAAATATTGTTGCATTTCATCCCAAGCATGAATAGATCCTGGTCTTAAATTTTATAGTCATGTTTTAGCTTTATCTCTTAATGAAAAAGGAAAAAGCTTTAATCTGATTGTGTTTATTTTACAATTTGAATTATTATAGGTGTTTCAGACCTCCTCAAATTCCTTTAAATGCAAATATGTATTTTCTAAATCCAAACCATGAAAAGAAGGTAAAAGTTGAATAATGTCTGGCTTAAAATTAAAATGACATGCATCAGAAGGGAAAACTATGCATGAGGGTGCACTTGTTCTTGTGGGACTAATGTGGTCTCTAAATGTTCTAGCATGGTTATTCTCATTATTCTCAATATAAAGCGATTTATTATCTTTTTCGACCATATTTTTTGAAAATAACAAGGATACCCTACAAAGTCTATCACTTAATGTATGTGACTAAACTCTCATGCACGTGTATGAAGAGAATAAAAGGAAAAAAAAAACAAAAAAACAAGAAACAAAGTTAGATACAAAAAAAAATGAAAAGAGAAAATAAAATAAATACTATAATTTATACAAGAATTCACCTCCCTAATAACGGCACCAAAAACTTGACACAACCAAAATATTGATGTCTTCTCTCAAGTGTAGGAGTGTCCAAGTAATAAATAACTCGGCAAGACTAGGTCAAACCATAGGACAGTTAACTATTTAAATTATAAGTAACAACAACAGCAATAATAATAAAAATAAGATGAAAAAGAAGAAGTTAAACAGGACTTTAAGATGTAAGATTAATGTAAGGATTAAACAATGATAAAAATAAATATCAAGTTTAGAGGATCCACTAATGATATTTCAAAAACAAAAGATTCATGAAAACACAACTTAAATATTACAAAAATATAAAACGAAAGAGTAAAAACATGATCTTAATCTGAAAACCAAGATGCCTAAATGCATGGCAAATGCCTTCTTTTATAGGCCAAAATTTGAAACTATTGATTTGATGACTAATTGTTGAGTGGGTGGCTAACTCTTGACTAAGTGACAATCCTTATCTTCTTGTCTGAACAAAACGTTATTGCTAATATTAGAATTCAAACAGACTTCAATCATGAAAGTTTTAGGAAATTATCTCATCTTTCCAACAAAAAAAAAATTGAGGTCATTTGGACTTCTAGAACTCAAGATATGGGTTGAACACTGAACAATATCTAGGCTACAAGAAAAATTTCGACTTCTTCATTAATGCTAAGATTTGAACTTCCAAACAGTAGAATTGAGACTTGCATTTCTATGAATATTTTAGACCTATGTCTTAGCTTTATAGTCATATGACACGACTAAAAGATTGATGTCTTCTCCCAAGTGCAGAAGTGTCGAAGTAATAAATAACCCGGCGAGACCGGGGTCGAACCACAGGGAGGTTAATTGTACAAATTATAAACAACAACACTAGCAATAACAACAACAACAACAACAACAACAATAACAATAATAATAAAGAAAAAGAAGAAGAAGAAGAAGATGAGAACTCGGAGATGGAATATTAATGTAAGGATTAAACAATAATAATAACAAATGTCAAGGTTAGAGGTTCCACTAATGGTATATCAAACAAGTATAGTATAAACTCTTATTATTCAATTGGAAAC